AAAATCCAAGATCAAATCCTTGTTCTACGTTCAAAAATATGAAAAGAGAATGAAAAACGAATGAAAAAGACGAAGGGAATAGGGTTATGTCGTTTCTGGAATGAGAGATAATGAGAGATGCCGTTTCTGATCGATGTCGCACATATTTATATGGAAGAGGTGGCCACGGCGTGAAAGGGAATGGCGCGGCGCGAGGCGGGCTGGTGGCATGGCGTGGAGCATTGGGCGCGGCGCGAAGGGTGCGGTTGCTGCGTTCTCTGTCCAGGCGTGTCGGGCATCGCGAGGTGTGACGCGGCGTGAAGGGTTTCAGATGGCGCGACGCGAGGCGTGCCGCGGCGTGGCGTGCGAGCAGCCATCTTCTGAAGTCCCGTGACAGTGGCACGAGACGGCCCGCGGCGTGGAGACCTGGGAGTGCCGCGGCGCTGGGGTGCTCGTGGCGTGATGCTGGGAACATGTGCCACAGCACACGCGTGATGGTCGTCACGGCGCGGTGCTCGGGTGCGGAGGTCTGGGCAGCCTGCTCGACTTTGTTCTCGGGGCCCGTTCGAGCTCATTTGGACTCGGAATTTGATTCCCTTTTTTCCTGCTTGTCGCCAATGAATCCCTCTACAAATTTGGCTTGCCCAAAATATTTTTCTCCTTAAAATCACAGTCGACGAGGCACCTGACCTACACATCACAGACGAACACAAAAGCGGAGAAAATCGAGAAACGACCGAAAAATACAGAAAGACATCAAATAGAGAAAAACACGCAATAATATGCAAAACGAACTAAAAACGAATGAAAAGACCTAAAACGGGGGAAAAAGAAATGAAAAATAAGTAAGAAAAGCGCAAAAAAAAAATGGGACAAACAAGCGGCATAGTGGGCACTAGCAATGACATTACTGCATCTCGTGGACTTCTTTTGTTCCTGCTCAAACAAGTCCAGAGTTTTCATGAATGTGGCGTGTACCAAAGCTCGGCAGGGCAAGAACCTAACACCTTTCAGGACGTTGTTGTAACTCTCGGACATATTGGTTGTCAATGTACCCCATCTACGTCCTCCGTTTCCAAACAGGGTCCAGTTGTTCAGAGGAATTCCGAACAGGTAATAGTATGCTTCCGGATTAAAATCCAAAAGCTGCTCTCGTATCTGTTGAAATTTTTGCTCTGAAACCTGTGAACCCAATTCCCAACACCAATTTCAGATTTTGTTATTCCTGAACCTAGTAACCATGTTGTTCCGAAGGTGTCGAAGACAAATCCGGTGATATGCAACGGGTTCTTGCCAAGCTTCCGATGATTCCACGGCACTCTGTAAGCCCGTATCCCTGTCCGAAAGAAAGCATATCTGTCTGTTGCCGAAAACATGTTGCGGAGATTTGTCAGAAAAAATGACCATCTTTCCCTGCTCTCTTCGTCCACAATCGCATAGGCGATTGGCAATAGCCGCTTATTTGCAGTCTGTGTAACGGCCACAAGCAACTTCCCCTTGTACGAGTCACGCAAATGTGTGCCGTCCATGCTAATTACCGACGAGCATCTCTGGAAGGTCTGAATGGCGGGACCAAACGCCTAGAAAACGATTTTGAATTCTCTGTGCTGATAGTGGGCCGCTATTTCCCCACCCTGCCATTCCCACTGTATAACTGTAGTGGAATTCACTCTTTGAAGCGCCGCAAAAAACCTGCACGTTACAAAACGTAATCGTCAATACATAAACATAGTGACAAATAACACGTACATTTGTAATAAATTTTTCCTTACTGAGGGAGTTGTGCGAAGTTTGATTCCCAAGTGTCATACAAACGATCGATGGCTTTTTTCCTCCCGTGCCATGCCTTCTTATAGCTCACATCGACTTTCCAACAATTTTTAACATCCGCCTAGATCAGGCTAACACTATACTCGAGTTTCTTTTGAATCTTGGTCATGACAAGATTTGAAATCACTGTGGCGGTTACATTTCTGTGGTCGTTTTTTTCGACTTCTTGCATACAACTGTGCCTCTTAGTCAATTCCGTTACTTCACACAGTTCATGAACCCGTGTGCAGTGCGTCACCCGAGCCCTCCTCGGACAAGGTTGATCTTCGTTAGATTTGCACACCACCTTGAATGATTTCTTATTCGATTATGTTGTCTTAACCACCCTCAACCTACTAACGTTCCAATTCATGATACCCATCTGTGCTTCTTCCTTGGACCGGAAAACAGTACCCAAACAGATAGTCTCAACATTTCCATTCCAACGTAGCAGAGCATGCTCATCCCAGTCTACACACGTTGGGTCCCACTCACCCATCTCGCGATACACGTGCTGACCGCTACTAGGAAATGGGTGTTCTTCAATAAATTCCGGTTCACTCTCCTCGTTTATTGATCTATCCGATTCCCTTTTTGAGGTATCATCTATGAAATCGTCTTCACCAGGAATGAAATCATCATCACTTTTTTCCTCATTATCGCATTCTCTAACTGTCGAGCTTGTCCTTTCGTCAAAATTACGAACATGCGAAGTGGACGTACCCTCAACATCAGCCACTCCCCCGTAAAAAGGGGCAACGTCCTCAAACTGTGTAACCTCTGTAGGTGCCTGCGTAACCTGCTTCAACTCTAAATGCAAATACACATAGGAGAAAGGAGAAAAATAATATATCCACTGAACAGCACTATCAGTATTCAGGTTTCCAATAATCCACGAACCATCGGGTTGGTTAGCCAGTAAACTAATCTACTCAATTATCCAACCATTTCGACGAAACCCAAAATTTTCATAAAGCATCTCTACCAATTGTTTTCGAAAAATTCTCAACATACACCGAAACCCATCATCGAAGAACAATGTATAATCATTTAACACAACTATTAAATCAACAATAAATCTTTTCTAAACTATGCTCATCAAAACCAACAAATATTTCTTAAACATTCATCAACAACAAAAAAAAAAATGTAATTACATTACATTAAAATAACAACTAACCTCTTCTCCGAATCNAGGTGAAGATCGAATTGAGGTTTTTTTTTTTCTACTCTCTGTTTTGTTCGCGCAGACTGGTGGAGGAGAAGATTTTTTCGTACTTATATTTTGTTAAAAACCGTATTTTGCAAATACGTTTTCATTTTTTTTATTATATTGTGAAACTGTATTTCTGAAATACGTTTCAAAAACATAAATTGATTTAGGGTTTTTAGAAAACGTATTTCAGTTATACGTTTTATTTTAATTTCAATTTTTCTTGAAAATTAATTAATGGTTTATTTAAGTTAAAATCCGTATTAATGAAATACGTTTTATAAAACCTAAATTCATTTAGGGTTTAAAATTAATTTAGGGCTTTAGGGTTTCAAATTGATTTGGGGTTTTCAAGAAAACATATTTCGTAAATACGGTTTTAAATTAAAATTGGATATACAATTTTCGGCAATATATTTTTCAAATATTTAAATAAATTTAATTTAAACACATATTCAAGGACTACGTTTTTTACTAAAAAATTATATTAAGAAAACGTATTGTGTAAATACGTGTTTTTAATTTCGGGCTACTCTTTTTTTTTCGTTTTTCTTTTGTCCACTTATTTTTCAAGTTTTAATCACCCTGTTGTGTCTTCTATAGAAGCCGAGCAAATGATGGAATGCGGAAGTGTGAATTATTTCACTATCATTACTTGCCTTCAGGTTCCATCCTCTTGAAATTTAATTGGGGATTTGGAGTGATATGTCAGCCTATGAAAAAATGCAGTTAAATAAATATTGGTAGTTGGACCCTCTATTTAAATTCTTTATGAAAATATGTTGTTCAATCAGAATTTGGTCATTTGATTGAGGACACATTATAATCTGAGACAAATGGAGTAATGCTAATTTTACGGTGTTTGTAGGTATTTAGTTTGGGTTAGGTTAAGCTTAATTGTAATATTTATCCCAAATAGAGATTAGAGAGTGGGCATATTTGGTTGGCACTCATCAATATGTATAATATGAGGTGATAGCAAGAAATATACATGATTTGAAACAAAAGGCACCAAACAACCATCATATAAAAAGAATGAAAATCTAAATCTAAATTCAATTAAAGCGACAAAGATAATTAAATGCATGATAAACAGAATTTAAAAAAACAATGCGGTCAAAAAAATTACTACGGCAGCACAAGTTGGCAATCTGATGTATAAAAAGATAAAATAAAGTAAAAAATAAAACAAATAGAAAAAGGAAAATGTACAATCCAAACTAGGACTGCAAACGAGCCGAGCGGTTTACGAGCCGAGCGGTTTACGAGCCGCTCGAGTCAAAGTTCGACTCAAGCACGAACTCGAGTCAAGCTCAAGTCCATATTTTGCCTTGTCGAGCGACTCGCCGAGCGGCTCGAGATCATGTTAAATTACTAAAATACCCCTTATATATATTAGCATAGGTGCTTAATTGTAATTTTACCTTTCCACTTAAAAATTTTCTACCCGTGCTCAAGCATTTTGATTTCGAGTCGAGCTCGAGCTATTGTAAATTTTTTATCAAGTCGAGCTCGAGCCTAAAAAATCGAGCTCGACGAGCTCGAGCAGCTAAAAAAAAAAAATCAATCCTGCTCGATAAGGTCAATGCGCGACTCGGCTCGACTCGTTTGCAGCCCTAGTCCAAACTACAAGCATGTTCAATCAATCACAAACAATGCCGGAGAGCATTTACAATAGGAACCTAGATAACAAAAACTATCGATACTTAGGTAGAGGGGGAAAATTCGAAGCTGCCCCTAGGGCCACTACAGTCAGCCCCTCACACACACCCATCTGGGTGTGTGTGTGTTTGTGTGTAAAGGCCCCTAGGGGCTGACTGCAATGCCCCTAGGGGCAACATCGAATTGGCCGGTAGAGAGCACTATGAGTAGGGACACTCCAAGTGCAATCAGTAATTAAACATTCTCTACTTGAAAATTGCTTGAGGATCATATTCTAAATACCATAGAAGAGGTAGAAGCAAATTGAAAACTTTGTGCACTTTCAACAACAAAGCTTCTCTAAGCATCAACCCATTGGACAAGATTCCATCCGTATAAAAGAATCAACCAAACAGTAAACCCTTTTTGCAAGCAGTATGTTTAAGTAGACTCAGACACAAGCAATCCCAAAATTGAGACACTTGTCAAAGACATTGTCAAAGCGATTTTTCCCAACATATGTCGCATAAGTTGTCGTATAGCTAAATGTACATTGCTGATGAGATAAGGATTCATAATACAAGGAAACAATCACACAAGACGAGAATTGTACAAACAGAAAAATTAATGTTATATTACTGAACTCATGTTATGATAAAATGGTGAAAGCTTGCAGTCGTATTATGAGAGTCGGGCATTTCATGAGAGTGTACGCTTGTTGAAAGATTCCACTGTCAGATTCGCTGTGAACGCAGGAATCGAATTCATCTTCCTGATAAATATATCAATCTGCAAACCACAACAATTAAAAAAATATAATATAATATGACATGCATACATATATTTAACTAGTAAATACATCTAACGGAAAACTTTGAATCATTAGCAACGTAAAAATTAGATATGCAGAGATGACGAGGCAACTGCAAGAGACGTAGAGTACAAACCTGCCGGGATATCTCGGGCTGTGAAGCATACTCATTCATCTGATTATANAAAAAAACAAACAGTATTTGATTCAGATTGATAACCAATAAGCACGTGTCTCTATATGTGGAGCTTGAATAAGAGGTCTTCTTCACTCAGACATTCCAATTTCAAGGTGCAAACTAATCATATTCTGGAAAATTGCATCATTTAATATAAATGTGAAACCATTTCCCACTGGCCACTGATTTCAAAATTGAGGAACTTACAATTACTTCCTCATATCAGATTCAAATCCCTTGTTAGATAATATATCAGATATGAATTCATTCATCATTTTCATCTCCCAAAGATCATTCAAATATAATATAATAAAGAAAAATTAGTACCCCCATTTTTTACATTGATCCAAAACTCTCAACATTAGCTGCAGTTATTCTTTTGAAGTTCAATATAAGTTGGATTCAGCTATGAAATACTACTGTTTGCTACATAGTGCATCGATCCCAAGTTGGATGACCAAATAACATATCCCTTAGGCAGCAATTCGGTACAAGATTTTAATTAAAATTTTTGTTTTGCTTGAAAAATGAGACGGAAAAGTGGTAAAAATTGTTTTAGGAAAAAGCGAGATATATTTAAGATTATGAATGGTATAAAATAAAAATTTAATGATCAAAATTGACGTGATAAAAATAATAAAATACTGATTGATAATTACTGTTAGTTATAAATATGTAAGTGAGTGAACAGTGTTTTTAGTTGGAGAATAAATATTATTGTAATTGTTATTATTTTTAATTGTGATAATGCGATTGTGGAGAAAAAAGAGGTGAATTTAATAGTATTTTCTGTGAAGATCTTTTTCATCTCCACTTTCAATGAGATGAATCTTGACTGACCAGACAAGTGAAAAAATCTTGTATCCAATTGCCATACTTGAAACTACCAGCCAAAAGTCTATATATATATAATTACTGGCTAATAGCATTTAATAAAACCTCATTTCGATTTCCCTCCAAAAACAGTTACAAACTTTATCATTTATATATCTCTCTCTATATTTAATTACTAACAATAAATTTAATAATATTAATTATTGTTTACCATCTTTTTATGTTACAATCTTCTATTATTATTATTATTATTATTATTATTATTATTATTATTATTATTATCATCATCATCTATATATATATAATTACTAGCTAATAGCATTTAAGAAAACCTAATTAATAAAACATCTAAAATTTTTTCTCTATTTTCGGTTACAAAATTTCATTAATGTTTTTTACTTCTCACATTAATACATCATATTGAGTGTAATCATGTATTTTTCTATTATATTATATAATAATTAAGGCAATACCAACTAATAATAATTCACAATAAATATAAATTGCATAATTATAAACAATTGCTTCAAGTTATTTATTTTAACATCAACATTATCTTTTTCTTTTGTATCTCGTGTAAAAAGTTTCTTTAAAAACAATTAGTAAATTGTTTTAATAGCATAGTCAAACAACTTTAGAATCTTATAAACAATTGTTTTTGTAATAATAATAATAATAATAATAATAATAATAATAATAATAATAATAATAAATAATAATAATAATAATCAAACTGCTATTATCTAATGATAATAAATAATTGTTCATAATAATAAACAATCATTAATTTATTTGTTCTAATGATTAAATTTTAAAAATGTAATATGTTCATTATCTAAAATTTTAATATTATATTCCTACTTATAATATTTTATGTACATCTGTGCATGTGCACAGGATATTTACTAGTTATTATTATTAATCCACCATATCTAATTAATGCTAAAATATTTAATTGCACTTTTTTTTGGGTTAATTAAGACAAGAACCGTTACATTTTATATTAACGGAGTAATAATTATACCATTTTATTATATCATATAATAGTTATTATTAAAACTAATAACTATAGTTTACACTAAATGATATATGAAAGTTACATAAACATAAAAAATTATTGTAAACTTTTTGCTGAAGTTATTTATTCTAAAACTAATATTATATTTTTTTTATCTTATTTAGCGATTGTATTTTTAAATAAGTTAAATTTATTTTAATGTTACAGTAAAATTCCTTAAAATCGCATAATCAAATGAATTATAAATTTAACATTTTTAAGCTAATAAATTGGCGATCTCTCAAAATTACATTATTTATTATATTTTATGTAATTAATATAGTGGTTCATATGCAATCAAATAGTTAGGTACTATTTATTTTAACCAATGATCAAATTTTAAAACATAATATCATTATCTAATTTATATTTATATTATTATATGTATAAATATAACTTATAATACTCTATGTTTAAAATATAATATCATTGTATAACTTATAATTTATATGCATAAATGTAAGTTATAATATTCTATTTACACTGTGCAAAAGGGTCGAATACTAGATTAGTATAATTACAGAAATAGGATATCATTGTTCTACACTTCAATTTGTTAGCCTGAGCAGCTTACCACAATGCTAGTGTTCCCAGATTCATACTCAAATTGAAGCTTTTCATCATCACTCAAGGCATATATAGAATGGAGAGTAAATCGTGTGGCGGGGATTCCATCTGGGCGCTGATGGTCATCCATAACAATCTGATGCATATTGAGACATAACAAGATTATGGACAACTTTATTAATGTTAGAAGTGTAATTGCATAGAATTCGTATCCATACTAAAGCATATGAGTTTTGGAGGAAAGAACATTTCCTAACGGAACATTGTGCTTCACTATTTTTCGTTGCTTATAATAAAAATCCACACCCTCACCTCAGGAACTGTGAGTAGTTCAAACATCTGAAAACTTCGTGAGATTGAATTCAGATACTGAATCTCGATGCTAATGTAGTGTGAAAAAGTAAAGAAGAGGCGAGAAAAGGAAAAATTGGGTTCTTGTATTGAAAGTTTGAAAGATCCATCACAGAATCTGATTACAGGACACTTTTGCCCGAGTCCTTAGTGTAAATTGATAAGTGAAGGGAGGATTGCAAGAATAAATCCAAAACTAATATTGAGAATTAATTGAAAACGAAAGAAACGGGAAGAATTCAAAACAACTGCAGGCGAGCTGCCACAAGCGCGTACATCGACCAGAATTTCTCCTGCCTAAGCCAAAGGCTCCTCTATTCTTTTTCCATCCTCTAAGAGACCTAAACTCTAATAAAATAAAAATTAGGGTTCCTAAGCAGAAGACCAGTCCATCACCTTATCATACCCCTAATTAAACAAATTAACTAAAATATGGAAACTTAAATATAGATGCGTATCATAAACTCTTCATTTTCGAGAATTCCTAACCATAATAATTTTGTTTTATAATTAGACAATTGAATATATCCAACTCATAGAGTGAAGGGTCTAAAAAAGAATAAAACTAAAATATATTTAATTAAATGAAAAAGAAACAAACGAGAGAATAAGGCCGACAATCTCAGTTTGAAACAGATAATCCCAGGTATCAACCGATATAGTCTACTTAAATAACGCCCTAGCAAGAAATATAACCTCTANAAAAAAAAAAAAAAAAAAAAACTGCTTCCTAAGCATATTACCAATTGGTCAAAATTACAGTTCACTTGCATACATATCTTCTCCTTGATCATAGCTAAACGGCAAATTTTATGCCTCATAGGCTTAACAGTGTAATTTTCAGCATCCGAAAGCACATATGGGGAGAGTTCATCAAAATTGAAAAATCGTGACAATTTTGACATCGCAATGTAATGAATAAAACCTTTTTATTTTTTTGGCTAGGGCAGTTGTGCAGTGATGGCTTGGTTGATTATTTAATATTTATAACCCACTTTGACGTTTACACTCTTATTTATATCATAATATTAAATGCATCAGGAGCCAAATCTCGAATATCTAATTGAGCTCTAAACTCATCAGGCAAGAACTTACGCACATTATCGTTGTTCTAGAAAGAAAGATAAAGGAGATCAAAGCTCAACCAAAAGTCAACCAATGCTAATACTGTTTTATCTTTGTTTCTGGCTGGATTGTCAAAATAAAACTACAGGCCATTCCTTGGGAAGCTGATCAAAATCGCATTATAATCGGTCTATAAAAGTGATAGAAACAACAAGACCTGGAAATTCTTAGTAAATAACAAAGGCTTTGACCTAAAAAGGAAGAAATAATTGGGAGAAATTATCTGAACCTAACTATGGTGTGTGTAGCCATTCGTTGATTTCTTTTATTTTTAAGGTTAACCAGAGTACGCTGCCAAGACACATTAACGTCACCAGTTATAAATCTGATACCGATAACAACATCAAGGCATGTGATACCTTGTAACCAAATAGTTCACAGCAGGCCCTCCGGAAAACAGAGATTCTTTCTGCAAAAACTGTCTTGTATCTGTTTTATCAAACATTTCCATGGCCTCAGTTTCAAGCTCAAACAGTTGGGAAAACTAAAGAAACTTCACTGAAGTATCATAGCCCACTCACCTCTCCTCACGCTTTTCAAGTGTTGCAATTTGCTCTTTCAACTGCTTAATTTTCCCAGCAATGTAGGAGTCAACATGAGTGCCAGCATCAGCTAAAATTCGCAATGTTATCAACAAGAGTATGTTAAAGAACATCAGAGATAAGGGAATCACCTCTTCTATTACAAAAACTCATCAAATTAAGTGACCAGAGCAGATAGTTGAACAGTTGTCAGATTACAAAACATATGATTGCTATGTAGCTGCGTATGCACTACATGTAGAAAAGGAACGCTAAGGCTAATCCTTATTTACAGTTCTTGGTTATCTTTTTTAGAATTAGGGCATTTGTGTAAAAGTTTTGAGGATCTTTTATTTATTTCACCAGACATCTCTGGCAGGTTCGGAGTAGGGAAGCAGAAAGAAAAATTAAAATATGCTGCCATTTCATTGAACTATATTCGAGGATACAATTTGCTAAAACAGTCATTTCGGTTTAATACCAATCTAGGAAGAGATGAGTGCGCCAAATACATTTTGCAAAACACATTCTATCAGCATTTAAAACCTCATCATGTTCGCACTACATTTGGCATCAACACATCAGGCAAAGATGCCTATAGAAATACACTCACGACCTCCGAGTCACTTTCTGTTTTCCTTGGAGACAAAAATCTTTAAATCATAATCAGACTAAAAGCATATAGGTATTGATGAGGATGCAAGAAGCGCATAAGAAACAAAATTGCCGTTCCTGCTTATATGACTGTGTCTTACTTCAATTCTTACTTACACGACTGTTTCTTAAGTTCCTCAACAGCCTGCAACTGTTCTTTTGTCTTCTGCAGCTCATCTTGCAGAGTCTCAATTGTCTGTTTTGCCTCGTTGTCAACTGCTAGGGTGTTAACCATCCGCAGAACTTTCGTGTTAGCAGAAGAAAAATCCCCATGCCCTAACTGCAAAAGAAGTACATGGATCCATCACGAAAAGAGGGTGAAGGAAATGGAAGACAACGAGTACATAAATAAATTACTTATTGCGGGAAAGGAAGGAAATGAAACAGTTTTTCCAACTGAAACCTTTACAATCGCATAATAAACACACGACATTTCTTTCTGTATATCAAATATGCATCCATACACATCTGAGAAGCCAGCAAAATTCAAATAACAATGAAAGAATTGACGATGTATATTACCACGAGCTTGTAGCTCAAGTAGTACCTCTAACCCTTTATAAGGATGTTGCACTGGTTGATACAGGGTTCGATCCCTGTACCTGCAGTTACTTTAGGAAATTATGCTCCCCTTCCCACCAGTCCCCCTATAATGTACTAAAAAATTGATGATGAATATTAGGTCCGAGATATGGCTATATTTGAACGTGACATTTCACCAGTGACTAATGTTGACTCGCGATGATTCGACCACCTACAATCTCAAAGGTATCATCATTACAACAAACTCGCAAGCTTTCTACTAAATTCTTTTTATGGATGTTGGAGATCTGATATTAGTACAAGGATAAAAATACTATTCCATCCAAGCATCACCAATTTCTAGTCAACTTTTGATTTAAAACGTCCAATTATTTTATTCTGCCAAGTTACATAAATAAACACATCCACATAACATTTGCAAATAAGCTAAAATAATATTTTAACAGTATGAACTTGACAAGCAAACAGTGGAATGGCTAGCAAAGACTGTAATAAATATAAAACAAGTAGTATATTTGTCATGGAACACAAACCTTAGACTCCAACAAAGATATCTCAGAACGAAGGCGATCACCTTCTCGCTCTAACATCTTGACTCGTCTTGCTTCATTTGTTAACCTTTCATTTAGCAACTTAATTTCGTTTTGCTGTCGACTATAGGTTTCTGTTTTCTCTACTAAACTGTTCTCCAGTTCTCTGACATAATTTTCCTTCTTTGCATGAGATGCTTCGAGCTCCTGTTGACAAGAGACATAAATAAACCATAAGGAACTCAAAAATCATAAAGAATTACTAATAGAATCGAAATAGTAATACCACCTGAATAATAGTTCCACTGACTAATTCAGTTCCACTGCCAGTGTTCTTGTGTTCTTTTAATTCTTTATAAACATTCTCCAAGTGATCTCTTTCCTCAGTAGTCATACTGAGCTGCATCAACAATGAAGCGGTTCAGACAATTTTCATATAAAACAACAAAATTAGTTAAATTTAATAATATGTTAGTTGTCTCTTTTGATGCTCTGCTGATAGAATGGATCTGCAGGTAAACGGGAATGACATCATTCGCCAAAAAATGTCTATGGTCCCTTTGACTTAGTGAGGATGAGTTCTAGCCAGTCCCATTTATCAATTTCCATCAAGATCATTTGCAAATTCTAGAATCTTGAGTATAATTAGGCTACAGCAGAGGCACAAAAAGTCTGTTAGTTTAATACCAACCTTCAATTCCAGCCTTTTGATTTCAGCTTTATATGACTCTGCCTTCTCTTTCAACATTGTGGCCTCAGTTTCTGCATTTTGTTTATTGAGGACTGCTGAATCAATAGCCACTTGAAGTTCTTTGACACATGCCTGGGCCTCACCCCCTCTCATCATACTATCAACCACCTCCCTGGATGAGTTGAATAAAAAGAGATCAGAAGCGCCACGTGAAAAGAGTTACAACATCACACAATCCAAAATAAGCTACTCAGCTGACCAGAACAGAATCGAGTTCACACAATCCAAAGTAATATTCAATAATAAGAGAGCCCTACTCAACTATATATGTGAGCAAAATTAACTCCATATCATACAGGGGCAACATGAAACTGCCTGCTTCACATGGAAACCTTTAAACAGTATAATAGGACTTCAAAGACATACTGTATCAAATATGTAAAACTGTCGGGCTATATAAAATCAAAGTAGCAGATTCTTAATTATAGAACTTTAGCTGACATAATTATGAAGTAAATATGACTAAAATACCTACTTCTGTAAAGCTGCAAATTTGGTGGGTATATCATCTGCAGATGACACACCAGGAATTTCATTAACCACTGATTTCCAGGTAGACAGCTCATCTTCCAATTTTTTCACATTTAACTGGAGATCAGCTAATTTAAGTAGATCAAACTCAGCCCTCTCCCTGCGTTTTATTTCTTCGTGTAACTTTTCTTTCAACAGCTCAACGTCTTCATGAGCAGATTTTATTTTTCTTGCTTCACGCACCTCAGACTCCTGGTATACATATTAATACAGATGCATTTCCATGGTTTACTAAACAAACATGCATGTAAATGACAATCTCAGTCATGACCCACAAGGTAGGCAAATGCAGAATAATGACAATCTCAGTCATGAACCGGTGCCTGAATGAAGCAGCTTTAAAGCAGAATAATTAACTAGATAACGCCAACAATATGATAAACAACCACCCCAATTAATCTGCCAATCAATATTGTGGATCCCTAGTTCAAGGATATTGTAGATTATGAAGTCTTATTACTCCTCAGTTAATAGTCATCTTTCTCACTAGCGTGAAATATTAAAACAAATAGTTGTTGACTAATCAAAGGATGTATTTATTGCCCCTCCAACCTATCGAGTATCCCAGCATTTTGTCACATGGTTACTTTGAGTTTGATACAAAGCAATATATAATATCTAGGAGTAAATCGTAAAATGCTTACATAACTCCTCAGTTCTTCACGCAAATGCTTTACCAACAAATTAGTGTCGTTAGAAGGAATTTCCGGAGATTTGGCTGACAACTTTTTCTCTACCTCAAACTTCTCATGCTTGCACTGGAGAAAAGCCAACCACATTATTCGAAAGTAATTACACTTCCAGAAAATGTAATAAATATATGCATAAAAAGAGAAATAAGAGCATGTTTACTGGAAAAATGAATAGAATAATCATAAAGTGGAACCCATGGACCAACTCCTATTACACAGGATAATGAGAACATGATTGGAAATACCAATCAATGTATTTACTTTACAACTTTGAAAATTAAAAAGTAAGAAGGGATACGCAAATACACTTCTATATTGAATGTCTATACATCATGTACATTCACAAACTCGGGAAAGGTTACCTTTTATCATTTGTCCAACTTTACGCACGTGTTTTGACAGAACTTGAGAACATGGACATAGTTAAATGAAGTAACACAGAGGTATTTGCACACAGACAAGAAACCAACATGGTTTTGCTGTAAGATGATCTAAACAAGAGAGCCCACAAACAATACCAGGAAAAAGGCAAAAAGTAAATGAATCTCAGTTACAAGACATTGAAGTATCTGAAGTAAAAATTTTCCAATCTACAATCAGATTGACTGGAATATTTCCCAAAGCTCATAACTAATGTATAGGTGGAATAAAAGGTCAAAGTTTACCTCATCCAGTTGGTTTTTAAGTTTATCCAACTGCCCTCTCAATAAGGCCGACTCTTTTTCTGCATTTTGAGCTCTACATTCCATCTTCTCAAGCTGAAGGTATATAGGATGAGGACATAAGATAAAAACATCACATGGACAGTGTTCTACTAATAGACAAAAATGCAATGTACTGACATCGGCACTTATTCTAGAAATTGAAAGCTTTGATTCACTTCGCATGTGAACAAGCTCATTCTGAAGCGAACTCTTCTCCCTAGCTATGCTTTCTGATAAAGTGCGTAGGTTTGCCTCTACATGGCTTGCTTTTTCTTCAGCTTTGGCTGCTAATGACTCTGCTTTTTTCCGAAGATCCATCTCATTAGAGAACTTTACCTACAAATGAAAAGGAAGATTTTGGTACATACCTGACAGAAGAATGAAGAAAGCACAACCAAAATAACACCACGCATAACTGATCTTTACAAATTAGACAATTAGCTAATGAAGTTTAAAGAAAAAACAAAGAAAACCTGGGATAGCTCATAATGATAATTGATAAAAATTAAAAACAAAGAATAAATAAAATGAAAAACATTCCCTAATACGTAGTTTGTGTTCCATTCAAAAGTTGACTTTTAACAAAATGAAGGTGCACCTTTCTCGTCTATTGCGTCGTCATCAAGTTTAAAACCTCAATAAGTTTAGAAAATGATGTCTGAATTTTGTTTAAATAATTTATTTCATGTTCTTAATTCAAATTTTGATTTGTTGTGGAGATTTATGCATCTTTTGGATTTTCTGATCATTCTACTCCATTTTCTAGTCCGTCGACTATATTTCGTCAAACACAATGTTCAGAGATTGCAATAGAGACTAGGCTTCATTAAATAACTCACAGACTATGAATAAATAGATTCTCAATCATACAAAACAGTAGGAAAATAACTCTTCAGATACAAAATCTTAATACGTAATATTTTGATATGATATATTTATATTTGAGAAATGGCTAATCAAAATAACTACATATATCAAGCTCGTTTTAATATCTAATAATTAGTGAATAAATAAAGATGTAAGCTGATGGCTATTAGTACAGGTGCAAGATATTTTTCAAGCTCGTTTTAAAATCTAATCATTAGTTAATACATTTTATCTTGTTTATAAAATGCTGTAATGCGTATTTTATACGTAAATGTCAGTATATAGGTGTCCAAAAGATCATATAACAATGACTACTATGATGTATTTCACATTAGAAAGAATAATTAAAACTGAAAATTTAATATTTTTTATAAAAAAAGAAAAAGAACAAGAGAAATGGGCAACTATAATAAGTAGTACAGTAGACACAGGTTTTGAAATATAACCTTTATATAATTTTCTTTTTGCATATTCTTCAGTTATATTGACAATTAGTGTAACTATACAACTATTTATATTACGTTAATGAATTTTATTATAATTATAATTTTGTCAGCAAGGGCTATCTTTGACTTCAAATGTGTAGGAGACTATTATTGAGCCAGTTAGTATTTAAGGATTCTTTACAAGAGTCTTGGACAAGATGTTAATTATACAAATTATTTTCTATTAATAATAATTATTAATTTAAATTAAAATAATGTGTAGGCAAAAAATGTATTATAATTTTTCTTATTATACAAGTCCATAATCAATCTCTTTAGTATCTTAAAATTTATATAGAACAACTCTTCCAACTCTTCATCCATTTTCAAGAACAACTCATCACCGTTTCTTAACCTAATAGAACTTTTTAATTGAGAGTGTATCCAATAGCACTCAGCAATTTCAGGTCCATGCACACGTCCAGCCTATCTTTAACAGTGCATCAAAGTACAACATATATCATGTGATACATAGGTGTCAAAGACTTGCAATAAAGCAAAATAAAGAGAACAGAACACAAAAGACAAACCCAAACACATGGTACCTCTAGATCACTAAAGGATTGCATCTGTTTCTTGAGGTGTTCTTGAGAAAAATCAATCTCCTTCCTCCGTTGCTCTTGCAATGCATGTTCACGTCCTTTAGCAGCAGCTAGTTCTTGCTCAGCATTAAATAGTTTATCTCGGAATTTCTTTCTCTCAGCATCTGCACAAATAAAGTTTAGAGTATAATACAAATTAGCTTCAAATATGATCTCATAGACATCATGCAGCGAACTAATTTAACAAATAACTTTATTTTGAAAGGCAGAAATGATAATAAATGGATACAAAGTGATTCGGTGCATTTCCAGTCGGCGAGAGGAATCCATCGTTGCATATAGATTATAATTATCTAAGAAGTATAGGAGACTAAAATTTCAGAAAGACCAAGTGAAGAATAAAAAATGTCATCACTCACAATTCAGAAGTGGTAGAAATTATAGGAAATATAAATGAACTGCCTTAAGAAATTGGCAGCATTATGGTGTCCCCACAAAATTCCTAAATGAACTGCCTTAAGAAATTGGCAGCTTTATGGAGTCCCCATAAAATTCCAAGTACAGGATCTCATTCTCATCTAGTGCATGTTTTTCAAACATGTTACACAATCTCCGGCCTGCCACTCCCAAAAGAGGAAAAGAACAACAAAATGAAAGGAAAGCAACAAAAACGAGAAGAAGAGAAAATGTGTAATATCACCAAAAAAAAAGCATTAAAAGACAATACTGGAGATTGGAGGAGCACAAAGTGCAATGACAATAACAGCTAGAGAAGCATATTTGCTTCTCGTAACTGAATAAACTATTTTGGTTGACATCTTTGTTACAAACCTAGGGTTTTGAGTTGATGATTTCCTTTGATATGAGAGGACAATATATATAGAGTTGATAATGGGCCCTTATAGGCTTGGGCCTTGATATACTTAACACCCCCCTTCAAACTCAAGGTGGAGGTGGAGGATCCGAAGCATTGAGTTTGAGCAAGTGAAGCCAATGTTGTTCTCTAGTTTGTGCTTTGGTAAAAAAATCTGCTACTTGCAGTTCTGAAGGTGAAGGCACATACTGAAGAAGAATTGTTTTCTGATGACAATGAGATTGGGTAAAGGAAGCATCGACCCCAAGGTGTTTTGTAAGCTCATGCTTCACGGGATCATTGGCAATTTGTATAGCTCCAGTATTATCACAAAGAAGAGGTGTAGGAGCATCGCATGAAATACCAAAATCAGCCAACAACCACCGAAGCCATATAATCTCTGAAGTGGTAGTGGCAAGTGCTCGAAGTTCTGCCTCTGTGCTAGAGCGTGATACAGCAACTTGCTTTCCATGTAAGAGGAGAAGAACCAAGAAAAATGCAATAACCAGTGACAGAACGACGACTGTTGGATTACTCGCCCAAGTAGAGTCCGAATAAGCATGAAGCTGAAGCGGACTATCACGAGCATAGAACAAACACTGAGATGATGTGCCCCTTAAATACCGTAACACACGAAGCAAATGTCCAAAGTGAACTGAAGTAGGAGCACTCACAAACTGACTCAATATATGAACAGCATGAGCAAAGTCGGGTCTGGTAACAGTAAGATAAACCAGACTACCCACGATATGGCGATATCGAGTGGGATCCTCAAGAGGCGTACCGTCAGTGGGGCGAAGCTGCAAGTGAAGATCCATAGGTGTAGCCGTTGTCCAATTATCAGTAATACCATAACTAACGAACAAGAAGATCTTGTATGTATTTCGCTTGAGAAAGGTAATTGCCCGAGTCAGAGTGCATCACCTCAATGCCCAAGAAGTAGCTAAGAGGGCCCAAATCGGACATTTGAAATTGCTGACCAAGTTGTTTCTTGACATGAGAAATATGATCTGCATCATCTCTCGTAATCAGCATATCATCAACATATAAAACAAGTAAAGTACGTCCACGTGGAGACATGAATAAACAAGGAGGGATCATGATCACTAGGGGAAAAACCAGCAGCCCGTATGACAGAAACAAAGCGCTCAAACCAAGCACGTGAAGCCTGTTTGAGACCATATAACGCGCGACGAAGACGACAAACGTGTCCGGAGGGGGCATTAACACCCGGTGGTGGCTGCATATAAACTTCCTCATACAGATCACCATGAAGAAAAGCATTCTTCACATCCATCTGAGATATGGTCCAAGAACGAGCAGCCACCGCAATCAGAGTACGGACAATGGTCATGTGAGCAACGGGAGCAAAAGTCTCATCATAGTCTCGTCCTTGAGTCTGCTGAAAGCCTCTAACAACAAGACGAGCTTTATATCTCTCAATGGAACCATCCGACTGCGTCTTAATCTTGAAGACCCACTTACACGTGATAGGTACAGCATGTGACGGTAATGGAACAAAATCCCAAGTGCCGGTACGATCAAGTGTTGCAAGTTCCTCGGACATAGCAAGTTGCCATTCCAGAATACACGAAGCTTCCACATAAGTGGATGGTTCATCAACAATAACACTCGCACGTGGAAAACCCAACCGGTCAGGAGGCTCAATAGTAGCACGATCACGTAAATTATATCGTTGACGAACCATAGGCTCTCCATGAATACCATGTGACACATCAGAATCAACAGGATGGGAGTTATCAGGACTGGCCGAGATAGGAGAATGAGGCGGAAGCGTTGTATGACCGAATGGACGACGAGTATAAACCTGTGTGATAGGTGGTCTATATGAGGAAGGCTCATCAGAAACGGGTGGTGAAGACTCATCATGAGAGGTCGGTACATCATCAGGAAAAGAAATAGGAGGAAGACATAAGAATGACGTAGACTCTGTAGAAGAAGAAGAAGAAGATGTGGGGTGTGTGGAAAGGTTATAAAAGAAAGGACGATCCTCGACAAAGGTTACATCACGAGATATACGCATGCGACGAGAAGAAGAATCATAACAACGATAACCCTTATGCTCAGGACTATACCCCAAAAAGACACACTCAACCAACTGAGGAGTCAGTTTAGTGCGCTCATGAGGAGCAAGTAACACATAACATGTACATCCAAAAACCCGAAGATGATCATAACTAGGGGGACGACCAAAAAGAACCTCACCAGAACACTTACCAGACAGTTTGGATGACGACTGTCGGTTAATAAGGTAAACAGCTGTAGAAACAACTTCTCCCCAACAATGAGAAGGAACAAAAGAGGCAATGAGAAGGGTTCGAGCAGTCTCAATAAGATGGCGGTGTTTTCGCTCCGCAACACCATTCTGAGCATGTGCACCAGGACAGGAAAGTTGGGCAAGAGTACCCTCAGAGGTCAAAAACTGACGAAAATTGTCAGATAAATACTCACCATCAGAATCAGAACGAAAAACTTGAATAGGATCAGAAAACTGAGTATGAACCATGCGAGCAAAATCTTTATAAATGGAACACAACTGAGAACGGTGTTTCATAAATATATCCAAGTATATCGAGAATGATCATCAATAAAAATAACATAATATTTATTGCCACTTTTTGTAGGAAAAGGGGATGGACCCCATACATCAGAGTGGATAATATCAAAAGGCCTAGCAGAATGAGAAATACTAGGAGAATATGGGAGTTGCAACTGTTTTCCGAGTTTGCAACCCTTACAATGAAAATTAGACTCAATAGAAGTACGACCTAAACAACTATTACTAATCAAAGTAGACAAAGGGGACCCACTCAAATGACCGAGACGATGATGCCATTTGGCGAAGGATGAGATGGAAGATGATGCAATAGATGACACACGAGCGGTAGAACCAGGTGGAGAGGGAAGATGCAAAGTGTCTAGAATGTAAAGACTCGAATCACAGTCCCGCTTCGACGATCCTGAATAAAACAAGATGAGTCATCAAATCCAACAAAACAATTTTGATCAGTGACTTGACCAATTGAAAGAAGGTTCATGGATAACTTAGGAACATAAAAAATATTAGGCACTGAAAAATGTGAATTGCATAAAGAACCCTGATGAGTAATATGACAAGATGTGCCATTAGTGTCTGAATAGAAGTACCATCTGTGACCAATTTGCAGGCAACCAACTGGGATTGATCAGAAGTCACATGGAATGATGCCCCCGAATCGAGAACCCAAGACTGAGGAGCATTGACAGGCGGGGCAGCAGCAACGGATGCAGACCCTTTAGTAACATGAGTCATACGAGTCCGAGCAGCACGACGTGCACGGTACTCAGCCAATTTTTCTAGATGCTGAGCAAAACAATTTTATGCAATATGACCTGTTTTCCCGCAATGCTGACAAGTGTCTGAAGAACCAACTTGTGGTGCACTAATCCGTTGGGAGGGTGCCCGATGAGAGGCAGCCAATACACCATGAGATATTGTTGACGAAGCAAGTGACAGAGCGAAGGCGAGTCTCTTCAGCAATCAAATTAGACAATGCTTGTGCCATGGTTAGAGTAGAAGAGTTATGAAGCAACCGTGTACGAATAGACTCAAATCAAATTCTGCTCTAACCCCCATGACAAAGCGGTATATAAAAAATTTCTCCACAAATTTATGTGCTGAACACTCCTCTTCAACGCATGGAGACACCATGGAGATCAATGGTCCCATCAAACGATCAAAAGCTGAGTAGTACTCATCATTGGACATATCATTCTGTTCAATGACATAAATTTACTGCATAAGTATGTGCAAGAGTGCACCACTATCCTGAACGTAGCGTTGTTGCAAATAGGGCCACATAGCCTTAGCTGTTCGAAAAGTGGAAAGGCTCATAATCATGGACTGCTTGACACTATTGACGATGGCAGCCATCACTTTCCCGTCATTAATTTGCCACGTTCTGATCTCAGCAGCATTGCTATTGTCCACTTTTCGTTCAGGGTCATCATCGGTCAAGTGGAAAGCTAGACCATAACCCCTCAATACTGTTTCCACAGAAAAAGCCCACTCCCGATAATTCTGGCCATCGAGAGTGATATTGATAACAATGGCATTAAGTTGCGACATGATTCGACAGATGACAAAATACCTCCGCAATGGGCGGGCGATAAATATGAGAGACGAGGTTGCGACGGGCAGCGTAAAATCACAAGACGGATGAGTGAAGGCTCAAATCAGGAACTGGACAGTGTCGGGATCGATCGGAATAAACGGACCCTAACTTTGACAAGTGGCTGATCTGAAAAAGGCCAAAACGGACACCAAACCAACTTCAAAAAAAGAAAACTAAAGGCACTGGCAGCACCCTCTCGAAATTCCGATCCCACGGAAGTTCGCCGGAAAAAATCCCGACGAGTCACGCGCTCTCACACGCCGGCGCGTGGGACTGCCGGCAGAAAATTCCGACGGCGCGTGTAGCTCACACGCGCGGCTTCTGACGGCGAAACTCGGCCGAAAAGTTCGTCTTGAGGCGGCGATTTGAATGATGTGGGAGGTGAGATCGAACAAAAGAAAAAAAAAATTACGTGAAAGGTTGTGATACCATGTTACAAACCTAGGGTTTTGAGTTGATGATTTCCTTTGATATGAGAGGACAATATATATAGAGTTGATAATGGGCCCTTATAGGCTTGGGCCTTGATATACTTAACAATCTTAACAGCATAGCTTTTTCACATTGGACAAGAAAATATTGATGAATACAAAGACATTATCTACTTGAAACCTTGATAACACTATGTCATTGAGCGTAGATGGAAGATATAAATATATTGGCATGAAGTTAACGAAATAATTTCCTTACAAGTTATAATCTTGCTAAGTAATAATTTCCCTTAATCCTGATCTTAGGTATTGCTCTAGAGGCAAGTTGACAAGAAACAGTTTGTGGCACCATCTCAGCAACTCACACACAAAAGCCAACAATAATAAGAAAAAACACATTTCCTTTCTCTGTGTACAGAGAGTCAAAAGCCTGTGATTAATCAAAATTATAAAACAAGGAGACAATTCAAGAAAAAAAAAAGCCTCTAATATTTTTCCTAAGACTCCGTTTGTTTTGAGGGATTTACTGAGGGATTTGAAATCCATAGAGTTCAAATTTACAAGTTCAAATGCTCATGCATGTTGGGATGATAATGGAAGTTAAAGGATTTCAAATTCATGCCAAATACTTTTTAGTCGAAAGATTTGAAATGACTCCTCAAACCTAGTCATTTGAAATAAAAGGTTTATCACCGTCCACGCCGTCCGTGATCATTTAGGTTCATCACCACCGCGAGTCAACACCATCGGTGCGAGCTAAACAATTTATTTATAATATTTTCAACACATCCATTCAAGAAGTGTGTAGGGAAAAAATTATATTTCAAATTTTTTGAAATCAAGGGATTTCTAATCCCTTAAAACAAATGGAACCTTAAAGAATCCTACTGGACAAATCAGATTTATTGAACTTATTTCAACTAACTCTCAAGTCTCAATTATTAAGAGTGAAGTTATGCTCGGTGATCTCCTAACCACACTGAAAAGGACTTCAAGTTAGTCGAGCCTAAGCCCTCATACTTCAACAGGAAGCACCTTGTATTACTCGAAACAAAAAGAGAGTGTAAACTTATCAGAGAAAACAAGAAACAAAAATTTCCGGTTTAAGATTACGAGAACCCAACTGGAGTCATAAAGTTATGATGGTTCTCCTGCGGCGGACTATGATAGTGGAATTTGGTTGCCAGGTTAGCAGTTAACAGGAAAATATAGTGGACTCAAGACACAACCTATCTTTTACCTTTGTCATCATCACCAAATAATTCCACCATACCTGCTTTCGAGAAATCTTCATTCAGAGCTTCAAATTTAGATTGATAATCATGCGCTTGCTTTTCTGCACTGCTTAAGGCATCAAAGAACTCGGATTTCACCTGGAAGAGAGTTTTGTTAGCGTTGAGAAAACATTATAACAAGTTCTTGAGCAGTAAGATCTGGGAGCACTTTTACAAAAGTCCATTTGATAAATGGAATCCTCTAAAAGGAACTTCTCAAGAATTTTGCATTACTCACTTCTTTAAAATATAATTTTTTTTGAGCGGTTTATTTAAAGGTCCATATCAAAAGTAACCACCACAAACTTATTATAATATCAAATAGACTTTTATATTCAAAAGTCCATCTAATAAGTTACCCCAAATAAGCACCTTGTACCATACAGGTATACACTCAAATCAACGAATTACCGACCAAATTATTCAAACCACTGTGTTCATTTTCTATAGAAATTGATATCATATTTCCCCGTTCACGAAAAATGTGGGAATAATTTGCAGAATGGAACATACATTTTCAGGATATATAAAGAAGGCACATTTTTTATTTTTTTTATTTCTTATTTTGTTCACAAAACCAATTTTCCGACTTATTAAGTTCTCAATACAGGCCTTCCAACAATACCTCACATACTTGTACCCTACTCCCTTTGTGATAGAATTGATGGTGGATTAAACTTAGAACAAACGTGCTCATAAACTGGTGCGAGACTGTAAAAGACAAAGGACGCTTATGTGATTCCTGCCCAGGGAGGTAAATCAAAAACCTTTACAAATTCTCATTTGGTGGGCGAAAATACAATTCCCAGAATCCTAGTACATTTGAGATTGACATTCCACCAACCAGAAATGACTGCTCTCTTATTGATGAAATTACAGTCAGAAACATGACATTCTTCAATTTACATATACTGATAATAAAAATAACAAAAAAGGAGAAAAGTAATTATTATAGGATGTTTTCATTTTGAGGAGTTGCTGATAGTCAATCCAAGGCATATGTTTAAAACATCGTTTCTGATTTCCATTTGTTCTCAGTGAAATTGGACATGCCAAAAGAAAAGAAAAAGGCTCTACTGCATAGTATGGAAATATGTATCCATTAGCAGTCTATTTGTCTAATACCTTGATACTTTGCAGACTTGCAGTTCGATAGCACACTACTTCTACAAAAGCTTAAATGGAGCAAACAACTAACACACCCCGAAGTCGCAAATAGAAATATAACTGAGATACTTGAAAATGATCATTGGCACTATTAATGTCCATGGACATGCTAGTGACAAGCAACTTGCACCAAGAGAAAGGCAACCATGATATTAATACATTAAAGCCGGACACCAATTTTAGCTAGCTCTAACACCAGACCAGGCAAAGCCTAACCTACCACAAGTTAATACAGCAACAGATAAAAAAAATATGAATCCTCACGTTTAATCCCCAGGGTAAATTAATTGTCCCACATACAAAAATAAATAAATAAATAAATAACACGATTATCGGGCCTTCAAAGAGCCAATTAAAACTCATTTAGGTAGCCGGAAGAGAAAAGGGGATCAGGCAACGAGTTGAATGAATTAGCAATGCAACCACGGCATACCATTTGACGGCATTGGTAGGTGCACAGCATGTGGTCCGATGTGGTGGGGATTGAATGGCCATGAGAATACTCTGGCGCCGGAAGATCTTCGTACACCAACAGCTGCTTATCGGAGCTTCGGCTCTGAGTATTATTATTATTATCATCATCATCCAGAGGCCGTGAATTCGCCCTTCTCTTCCTCGCCGGTGGCGTTCTGATAATCATTTTCGATTGTTTTTTCCTTTTATCTCTTCAATTTGAGGGTTTTCCTGAAGTTTATTGAAAAAATGATGAGCATTAGGGTTCCAGCTTGTTTGGAACAGAAATCCAAATTTTGAAGGGAACGCGCCAACTGGTACTTGTTAATACATCTCGCCATTAACAACTTAAAACTTCCATTTCCATAATATAAAATTCTCGAATTTGTTGAGTAAGTGGTAAGCTTGCACGAATTCTATATATCAAAATTTCATGTTTCCCTATTTGATTTTGATAAATGTTAATTTACTTTTAAATAAAAAATAATTAGGCTTGGAGATTTCTATAAATATACGGCTATTGTATTAATATAGGATCAATACTAAATAATACTTATATATTAAATAATATAGTATTAAATAATGCTTATAAATTTAAATATAGGATTAACATGTAATACGATTTACCTTACATTATTAATTCGTTTAAATTAACAATTGCTAACCAGTCTTAATTAATTAAAGCTAATTGAATATTATTTTGTGTAAAAACATGTCTATCTATTAGAATTGTCATGGGACGGGTCGGGTCGGGCCGTATCCTGCCTTTTGGCGGGGCGGGGCGGGCTGGCCTGCCATCTGGACGGGCCAGTGAAAAGGAGGGCTAACTCGCCCCCGCCTCAGGCGACGGTTTGACGGGCCAATGCTGTCTACATATTATTTTTCTATTAAATATCTTGGATTGTGTCTGCAGCCTATCGGTGTTGGGCGTTGGATACCAAAAAAGCTTGTTGAGTATGTAAATCCAGCGGCCCAAACCGAAACAAACCTTTAAAAAAACACATATTATGTGCTTGTGTGCTCCAAACAAATCTTAAAACCTATTGCAAACTTAAACAACTGCAAACTTAAAAACTTTTGATAACTTGCTGGAAAAATTTAAAAATAAATAAATGCTTCAAACTTGAAAAAAAAAAGAGTCTATAAACTTTAGAAAAATGCGAAAACAATAATCATAATAAAAAACCAAAAGCATCACAGTCATAAAAAACCAAAAAACATCATTCCACCATCATCACAAACCAAAAGCATCATTCAAGCTTCCCATCACTCCAAAAACTAAACCTTACAAGTTGATCAATCATCATAATATAAACATCACTAAATCAAAGAAAACAACTTAAAGTTCAAATATATCAACTTCCCAAGTACTCATCATACAAACATGAACAAAATCAAAGATTATCTTACATCATTAAAATCTTCGTTCCCTTCTCCATTATCTTCGTCACCATCTTCAAGCATAGTAGGACAATGTGATGTTTCACTTGATGAAATTTTCGTGTAAGCACGTTCTTCATTATCTACAAAGAAAATACATAAAACATAGTTAAAGAAATATGCATATTTAAACAACAGGGTAGCTTAGCAACCAACTTACAAACAACATAATCATGTAATCAATTACGAGTGCAAATATGGGCTTGGACTTTTTCAGGGAGGATGCAACTTCTTTATTTAGTGAGCACGCGAGCACCAATAGAAAAGGCTGATTACGATGCAACAGTAGTGATGGGAATGGCCAACGCATCACATGCCATCAATGAAAGTGCAAGGAATCGATTCTTACAATTTATTCAACACCCTAAAATATCCAAATCCTCATAATATAAAAATTCAAGTTTCCTCTCTTCTAAGTAGAGATCCAATTGAGATTTTCTGGCACTTGTAACACTTTGACTCTCATAAGCCACAATTTCTTACATCAAACAAAATTTTGTATTTAACATCAAGAGTCATTCATTAACTTTGTAGGCTACAATGATAAAAAAAAAAAAAATAACAATAAAAAAAAAGGATTAAATACTTGCATCAAGAATTCTTTTTCCTTTGGATTTTCATCCTGATCCACTTTGCAAAGTAGATATTGTAGACAGACCCAAGATTCAGATGGGTTGGATGCTTGGATATTCTTTTCTTTCTTCTAGTAGGATGGTATGGTAATCCACGAAATAGAGACAAGTCATGGCATGGGACGGAGGAATCCGAGCGATCGATATATACCTTTATCAGCTCGTCCATAGCTCGCGGCTTGTCTTCGCTCCTTATCCATGATTCGTAAAAATCGTAGGAAAGTGGGTAAGAAGAGAATCTCTCACCTTACACTTTGACTATTAAAGTTGATATAACTTTGTCTTGACACGTGAGAGAGCCCTTCACATTTTAACGGATCATGCTCAACTTTCTTATAGAAAAACTCCAACATTTGAAATTTAATCTCGGTGTCAAGAATAGCCCCAAATGCAAGCACCTCTCTATATTGTCCCAAATACTTAACAAACTTGCCCCTTATATTTAAGCATATGTTTCTTATAAGCTCATCTTCCTTTGAAAGATTATCCCTCAACAAACTTTGAATTTTCCAAACTTGCATGAAATGCAAGTTCGAAGTAGGGTTAGAAGAACCGGAGATCAAGTTGGTAGTATCATAAAAAGGCTCAAGGAACTCACAAATTTTTTCGGCACTTGTCCATTTTTCACCTGAAGGGTTTCTATCATGCAACTAAATAGAAGAAAAGACCATTTTGTACTTAATTGCAATCTCTAACATTTAAATAAGTCAAGTACCAATGAGTACTTACATCGTGTCAAGCCGATAATCGTATCAGTGTTACCAACTGCATTCACAAAGTTTTTAAATTTGTTCATCCTACATTCGGAGATTTTCACATATTTAACAGAATCTCTAATTCTTTTCAATGCCTGATTTATAACTTTCACAACTTCTTGTACAATGAGATTCAATATGTGGGCAGAACAATAATGTGAAAAATCACCACCACACAATATGCTATCATGCAAAGAAAGTTGCTCCTTCAAAATATCAATCATGCAATCATTGCTAGTAGCATTATCTAGAGTCATAGAAAAGATTTTTTTTCTAAATCCCCCATTCCTTCAGAAATTCAAATACTTTGGAAGCTTATTCGACTTCTTAATGTGGAGGAGGCATATAAGTAAAACAAAGTATTTGACTATTAAATTTCCAATGTCATCAACAAATTGGGTATACAAATAAGTATATCTCTCACTGGTGCAAGCAGTCTACACATCATAAGTTAAGCAAATCCTATTACCAATCGCACATAAAATTTGCTTAAGCTTCAATTTCTCACTTGTATACATTTTGTATATGTCAGAAACAAGAGTGCTTCTAGAAATATAAAAAACATCGGGATTTATATATTCTATCCAAGCCCTTTATGTCATCATAATTAACAAATGAGAATGGTAAGCCATACTTAATAATAGGGAAAGCTAACATCTCACGTGAAGTCTTGGGGTTAACCTTTCTAAATCTTATCTTTCCATTTTTATCAATAAGCATTTAACCAACATCACCAAACTTAATTTCTTTGCACAATTGAATATGACGCCACAAAGTAGAAGTTACATATTTTTTACCACCAACTTTGTACTCTTTATCACACGCTTTATATTTTGCTCTTAAACTACCATATGTACCCAGCACACTAATTCTTTTAAAATAAACTCGAACACTAGATCCAACATTTCACTCCTTTAATTTAGAATTAGCCTCATCATTTTTATTGTAATAAAAAATTACACATTCTTTCTGTGATGCAGAAGAGTCCATCATCGATTCAACACCTTTATATATATCTCTCTTATTCTTATAAGAAAAAATAAAAGCCCTCATATGCATGACACGTGGCAGTTTTGTGGTGTTGTAAATTGAAGTATATGGCTTACACGTGGCCTTTTTTTGCATTGCTTGTTCTCTTTTTTTTTTCCACGATTGGTGACCCTCAATTTCTTCGTTTATTTCTAAAATTTGCACAGCAAAACGACGCCGTATGGTGATCATGTTGTGTTATAAAACTACGTGAATAACCCTGCTTTAATTGCCTTTTGAGAGTTAGTATGGTAAATTCAATCCCTCATCATTTTTTCTCCGGTCTTTCCCAATTTTCCCGCACACGTTACACTGACTGACAGAAGAAAGGGACATGCTCTCCAATTTCAAACGCTACCATCGATGCCCTCCGAAATCCTCCTCTTGATGTCGCCGGCATTTGCCCCGCAGACGAGCTCTACAAGGGCTAGCTCCTTCCCATCCACCCATCTCTCGATGGTCCGCGCTCTCCTCCCGTTCCACTGCGACTTCTCCTCCGGCTACTCTAGCTCCGCCGCTGACTACCTCGAGCTCAAGCGCTCACCGGAGACCCCAAATCCAAGCCGTCGTCGATCCAAGTACTTCTTCATTCCCAAGATCTTCTGGAAATAGCATAATCGCCCAAGGTGTCGCCACCTCACTCCGACAGTTTCGACGCCATGAAGAGCGTGAGCTATGGCGCGAGGGGAATGATTCGCAGATACCTAAATGAAATTTGTGGTTATTTTACACGATTGAACTTTCGGGTAAGCAAATTTTGCTAAAGATTTTATTTTATTTTTGGTTAAAATAAAATAATATTTTTGGTTAAAAGCCTTTCTTGGTTAATTTTTTTTCTCTCCCAAACTCAACCCGGATCCCCCTTTAGCTGCTCAATTCCCAGTTATTGATGTCATCCAATTGTGTTCCTCATCATCTTCCATGGATGCTCAGCTACTCAACCTTTGATAAATGGGAGCAAAGTGGTCCTTGCCGGTTTCTGTTGTGTTGCATTCTGATGGCTGGTAAGTGGGCAAAATGACTAAGCATTTGTTATAATATTTTATTGTAGGAGCCTATGTCTTTGGAAAAGCAATTTTGTGGATTAAGGTCAACTGACTGATATCTTTTGTGGGATATCATATCATATCTTGGAGTTTCACAGTTAGTCAAATGTTGCTCTTGTTGCTATTTTAAGTATATTACGTATAATGGTTGATTTTTTCATAGAAGTGAATTTAGTTTGCATGGATGTACGGGGACTTTGATAGTGTGTTTTGGCTATTTTGGGCTCTGGAAATATATCAAGTTGGCGTTTTAACCAATCTTATTTATTCTTTCCTTCATTCAACAGCCTGTTGGTTATCTCTCCCAAATTTTCACTTCACCTTACTTTGGATCGGCTAACCTCGAGCAATTTCGAAGATTTTTAGGATAGCAAATGCTATTGATCGATGATGAACAGGAGGTACCCATGTTAGAAGAAGAATTACTGGGCTGAGCCCCGGACTCCATGGATTTCACATCCATGCTCTTGGAGACACCAATGATGGCTGCAATTCAACTGGTCCATTTCTTTCCCTATCCTTATTTATTTTATTTAATAGTATGAAATTGAGTTAAGATGAGTAGTGTGCTCTGTTTTGATGAAGAAAATTGCTAAAATCGAATTTTCAAATTAAGAACATTGTTAACTATTGAGTGTTTTAATGTGTTCAATTCAATTAATTTTAGAATTTGGATAAATTTTGATTTTGTTGAAGTATTAAAGCGGTATATTTTTAATTTTTAGCTTAATCGCCCCTTGCCCTTAAAGTTTGACCTCAAGTATTTCATTCATTTATTATTATTTTTTTCTAATTCATGGTCCAACTCAAGCCATTAAAGTGGATCCAAGTTGTGAAAGCAAATTGCAAAAGAGAAGAAGAAAAGCCTTTCGAGGCGCTAATGGTTCTCAAACATGGTGGTGTTGTTACTCATGTTGGAAGAAACCAGGCGAGCATATTGTTATAACATGCCTGCATAAATTATGAACTTTGATCGAGCATTTCAACCACCAAAAACATCGTAAATTTGGCAAACACCAAAGCTAAAGTTTCATTATTTCAGTGGATAATTATGTTGTATATGATCAGTTTATTCTATCTGGTTTCCAAGAAACCATGTACTTCTTTTGTTGTTTTTCTTCTTCTTCTTTTTTTCTCCCAAAGTATCAAATATCAGCACAACATTTACATCCAATTTGTGAGAATCTGAACAGCGAAGAGCTCACGAATGAGGAGAAGGAAGCATTGGCTGCACAATATGCAACTGAAACAACTCTTACAAGGGTTTATGCAACTCAAAAGGATGATGATTCTGTTCCCATTGAGTTAGTCGTTGCTCCTGAACTTAAGATGCATAAAAATGAGGTATATATTCAGATATATAATATAAAATATGAAAAAAGAACAGCTAAAAAATTATTTAAAAATAATATTCGGGTCAAATGGTAATATGAATCCAAATTCAAAAATTTTAATGTACATTCGCCTCATTCATCGTCTTCGGAGAGTTTGTTAGGTTGCAGCATTACAGGAGGATACGAGGGCACTCGAGCATCGTATGAAATCTAAAGAAGCAACATAGCTTGAAGCTGAGAGAATATTGAGAAGTGCATTGGAAATGGCCCTTATTGTAGAGGAGGTCACAAGGCTTTTAACTTAGGAAACGGATAGTGATATGCCAGGTACATTTCAATGAAAATCAAAACATAAAAAAATGAAGTTCTTTTTAAACCAACGCGCATGAATATGTGGTATGTTCTCACTAGGAGGAGCATAAGATACTGGATAAGCCAAATAGGCAAAAGATTTTAGAGGTCGATAAACTTAGCCAAACGATCAAAGAACTTTAGGATACCATACTTGCTATCCGCGATTACATGCGGCATATCACGGAACTAAATGTAAGAACTTGTGGTACATGAATCTCATTTTGTTGGTTGGTTTGTTCTAGCATTTGATTAAATGTAAGATCTCTATATTTGAACATTGTATTACTCTTTTTTTTTTTTTTTCCTCTTTACCTTTGTAGGAGCAGAAGAGTACCCAGCAAAGAGAACTAGCAATAGTCAAGGTTCCTGCAAATAGGTTAGCAACCATTGGGGCTTACAAGTGGAAGGATGATAAGGACAAAGTTATGCCTGTCAAGCAATGGCTAGAAGAGAGAAGGATATTACTGCTGTGTATCGAGACCGTCTCACAGAATCACAGATAACCATGTGCTCACATAATGAACAATCCCCTTGAGAGAGAAGAGCAGATTCACAGCAATGTTATGCTCATCAATTGATGGTCATATGACGACATTGAGGTTTCGTTTTCTCATCTTAGATAAATCGTCTCTTTGATTTGATTGGGTAATATTAATATTTGTATTGTCAAAATTGTTTGCGCTGTGATGATTCAACTTCTAATTGTGAAATTTTCATAATTTTTGTTGTTTTGGGTTGTTCTGATCATGTTCTTTCTGAGTATTTTAGGTTTTATCCTTAAATCCATGTGGTATGGATTAGGGCTTTGGTTATAACATCTTTATGGTGATAATGATGATTAGCAAGATATGATTTTTAGCTGAATTCGTGTGTGGTTTCTATGTATGTAAGGCTGGAGAAGTTAAGAGGAGTTAGAAATCAACAGGCAGCTGCATGGCGAATGAGTTTTTCCGGCTAGCGGCGGCGGAACGGGGCCGAGGCGGTGGCCGCACCTCTTGGAAAAGCGTGGCAAGTTGTCGGAGGAGAAGGTTGCTGCTTGGCAGCTGCAGAGGTAGCAGCTCATGAAGAAGTGTCTAAGGTGTTGTAGGTCCCGAGGCTTTCTGTGTCACGGTGTCATGTTCTACCGTTGTAACGAACGTTGAAATTCTAACATTTGGTAAAAAAGTGAATAAATAAAAAATAGTAGTGGGGACGATGTGTACCTCTCTAATGGGTCGGAATTAAGACAAGGTTAGGGTTGGTTCTTTATAGAAAATTTCCCTCTCTCAATTTGTTGGCTTATTGCAAGTTTATGGTCCTTTTTTTCTGCACTTTTTTTGTTATATCAAGAGTGAGCAAATTCTAGAAGAAAAATGTGAAGGAAGAATTAACAGTAGAGAAGAATAGAGATAGCAATCTTGGCATGACACACGTAGATGAGGTCTCTTTTTCCCAAAGCGCGGATAGTTGTAAGGGGAATCACCAAATGGAATTTTTATAATATCTAAAAAGGAATTAGACCAAACATATATATCATTACTTCCAACACTCGACACTGGTCGATTAGCATTTAGGCTTTTACTCCAGAATCGCCCCATATATGAAGAACATTTATTGAAAAAAAAATGTTCTTTGTATTCTAGATTTTGATTTGGTATGCAACTTAAGTGATAATATGAGATTATTGTGTTTCATGTTTGACAGCTTGGCTTGGTATACTTTGTGATAGTGCGTGTTATCGCTGTCAGCACATTAGCAAAATTTGGGGCCACAATCGACTCCTTGAAAGTAAGACAACATCAGCATCTCTTTTATGCTAATCGTTAAAAATCTTTATTCACTGGCATAGGTCCTTGTAATCTCTTCTACAACCCCGCATATTTGGTCTGTTGAGGCGTTGCCTATTTGATACTGATGATGAGGTCAGTTTTTTTGTCCATTGTTATAATTTAACCGGTTGTATAAATATTCTAGACTATTTATGTTATTTCACCTTTTTTTCCTTCAAAAAAATGTCTCATTCTTTATCACAAATACTCAAATGTCTAATTCGCCTTTTTGTTCACTACTTGATAGATTGCAATGAGGACAAAATCGATGGATCAGAGTCCTTTAATGTATGTGATGTGATGACTTGAAATATTCTTTTCACATGAGCAATTAGTCAAAACTTCTGCACACACTGCAAAATGCTGGTTTAGTTTATGTTTTTTTTACGTTTTCAACGTTCTTTTCCTCTCTCTTTAGTAGTCAACCTTTTCACTTGTTTGGGACTTCAGTTGAAAAATTATGTAATATAGGGACAGCTCAAAGAGAGTGAAAACATCAAGAAATGGTGAGTTGTTCGCTAAGGGGACGTAGAAAAGGTGTAGAGTGTACAGGAGTCTGGATACCTAGAGCATAAAACAATGCAAATATGGTCAGTGTGTGTTCTCAAAGCAGAGAATGTAGTTTGGAAAAATCAGTTTCTAGAAACTTTGAATGAGTGGGATTTTTTAGATTTTTTGTTGATGTTACAAAGGAAGATGCTTAGTGAATTGGATGGTTTTATCTGGTAAAGTGGTGATTATTGCAATCTCGGGGCTTCTAAAAGCATCCTATTCTTCAATTTCCCAAGCAGATATGTCATGTGTTTGCTGGTTTTAGTTCAGTACAGTTATATAGTCATATTACCTTGCCATCCTTGTCATCAGTTATTCATATATGATTGGCTTGATATGAACTGTTGGTTAATGTTGATGCTGGGTTTAAATTACTTCTTTAATGTGTGGATTGCTAATTGACCCCATTAGCTAATTGTTTATTTCTTTTACTAGCAGTGAAATTACTTCGGAAGGCTTGATCAGATTCTTCTCAATGGGAACAACATTTCGATTGTAAGCACTACATAGATGGACTCTTACGCAAAAAAATAATAATAAAAAAAGGTTCGGTTACCATTCAGTATTTTTAGATTGTGATGGATCCTCTTTCTTACGAGCTCTGAAGCAATATAAGGATAACAGCCCCACAAACGAGCTAGATTTAGGGCACATAATCAGACACAACAATTCACGGGCATCAAATGAATGATGAACGAAGGGCAAGGAAATCACACGTACGTTGCATCAAATTTCTGGACCGTCATACCCAACAAAATATAGTCGTTTGGCAAATGTATGTATATGTAATCCTATCAGCCGAAAAAAATGTATGGATGCGCTTTTACACATTTTAGCATACAACTTTTTTGGGCCAACAAAAAAAAAAGATATTTTTTTAGAAAATATCGACTTAATTTGGGCACATTTTAACATACAACTTTTTGGGGCAAATAATAAAAAAATATTTTCAGAAAATATCGCCTGAACTAGGAACGGCTGTGCGTGCACAGCCGGAATACCACTAGTATATATATATATATAAACAACAACAACAATCAACCAAAAGTTCACAAATTCAACACTTCAGCAATCAGCAACAATTTTCACAAATTTGTGAGATAAAGTCACCAATTTAACACCTCAAGAATCAACATTCTTTGAAGTAAACAAGTTCACAAATTTCAGCACCAAATTCAACATGTTCACAACAATTTCATCAACAAAATCACCAAACTTCAGCAACAAACTCACCAAATTCCAATCAGCAATAAGTTCAACAAATTTCCTCAACGAGTTCACCAAATTTCAGCAACATTTCAGTACTTTAAGCCAAAAAATTAAGTATTTAACAGGACCGGGAATGGACCCGAGAATGGATGGAGATGGGGAAACCGGGAATGTGATACAGACCCAGAAAATTGCAGGGGCCAGGGAGGTCAGAGATCGGAGAATCTTCAGCCACTTCAAGCTTGGGTGATAGAAGACCGAGAATAGTGCGTGGATGGTGATCGTAAATCAAAAGTCGAGGCGGAGGCCAGTGGCGAACGCTAGAGTTGATTGGAGAGTAGTGACGAAGAAGTGAAAGCAGAGCATGGACTTGTGGACACCAAAGAGAAGAACGGGTACGATGTGCAAGGGGTGGGATGTAGGGGTCGAGGGTTCTCTGTGTGTGGAGTAGTGTGTGTGTGTGTGTCAATTGATCTGTCGGTGGATCATATTCCATTTTCAGATCTATAAATTAATTGAATTAATCATGGTCGTCCAATATTATACATATTGCAATAGAAATCTTCAGTGCGAATCTTCTGTCTGTTAAACCACCAAATTTGAGTCACCAACCACTTTGAACTTGTTGATCTTAATTTATTCTTCGGAATCTAAGCCAAACGTACATTGGCTGCTTTAGTCTTGAGACTAAATACATCTTGGATCTGCTTACTCGCACTCATATGCAAGACTCCAAGACGTGTCCCACACCCCTTGCATCTGGATTAAAGCTCTTTGCATACGATGGTGCTACTCTTGATGATGCAACAGACGTAGTAAAAAAGTGTTGGCTCCCTTCAGCATATATACATATATATATATATATATATATAGAGAGAGAGAGAGAGAGGTTAGGTTCAAGTGAGAAATGTACTTAGTGAAAGAAATAAGAATGCATATTAGCCATCAGATCGAATGATTCAACGGACAAAAAAAAGGTCAAATTGTTACACTCATTAAGGATAATTTGGACATTATCATTATCCATCCAACCAACCCACTCATCTATGGGACCCACACCACATCACCACCCACCCACACACACAACACACCCATACACACACAACACATGCGCATACACCTCAACATGCATAGACCCACACACACACACACACACATCTCTCTCTCTCTCTCTCTCTCTCTCTCAAACACACACTACACTCGCAAAGAACTGCACAATATTGTTTGTTGGAATGCACATTATAGATCTCAATATTCATTATGTCTAGGGGTTTGGCTCATGGGATGAGGTCGAGCTGGTCAAAGGACTTCTGAACCCTGAGGGCTGGAACGGCGACAAGTCGCTCCCTGCTGACCACCCGTGGTGAGAGATGGTGTTGGAGTTCGCCAAGGCGAAGGCCGGGCTAGCCGCCGAGAGCGAGGAGGAAGGACAATTGTCCTCGTCATGAAAAATATCTTTTATCTTTGCATGCATCTGAACTTATTTTGACCTGTGAACACTTCTCTTTTTTTAGAACTTGCTTACTTTTGTGGTTGAATGATTGTCCGTTTTTTATGCTTGCTATATAGTCGAATTATTTTCATCTTGTCGAATACCTCTCGCTTGTTAACCAACTCTAAGCACGGTGTCGCTATAGACAACTTAGGGGCTAGGTTGTCAATTTACGATTTCCCTTTGAGTATTATCATACGCGTGGCCCGTCTGCGATTTTTGGGAGCTCAGGATTCGAATACCACTGTAGTGAGTGCTGCTAATGGGCTTATGAGTACTAGGATTCACTCCTAAGAGGCTAGAATTTACCATCTTTAATCAGTAACAAACAACTATCATGTGTCCATGTGTTCCGGACTCTCACAAGAGATAGTATAAAGTTTAGAAGTCCAACTGATGGTGAGACTCGTATGTTACACGACATTGTTGTCGCTCCAAAGTAATCGGAGAAGAGCTTAAAGTACTTTGTGGAATGTCTAAAACATTGAGAATACTTAGGCTATAAAAAATAATAGAGGAAAGCATAAGGGATGTTGATACCTACGATCCTTATTTGAAGTACATATGAAGTCCCGTTTTTACTAATGTGAGACATTGATAGAGTTGACCTTATGGTTGGTAGTTCAACTTAGACTCGGGATGCAAAATGGTAAGTTGTNTATTGTTGATATAACTCAAAAAGAGTACAACTTATTGGTTACAAGGATCGTCCCAGCTGTCACGTCACGTGACAAAAAGAAACGAACTACGGGAGAGTCTTTTTAACAAAAAAGCTCTCCTCAATAGAGATCAACCCTAAAAAGATACCCAAACAAGCGGGACAAAAAACTCCATAAAAGAGATGGAATTACGACTAAAAAATTGTACCAAGGGAGACTAAAAACCAAACAAACAACAAAATAAAGTAAAAATGAAAAACAATATAGCTGATTAAACCAAAAAACTATAAACTAAGCTAAAGTCCTCCTACCAACCACAAGTTCAACTCACTACACCAAGAAGCGCCAACACCCCAAAGCGACTAGACGAAGAGAAAAGCCAAGACAAGAGACTTAGAAATGGGCACTCAAAACTCCACACTCCATAAGACTATGGTTATGGCAATGGCTACTCAGATCTGAAGCCAACGAGTCGGATCCACTCTTCAAACTCAGTAACTGAATAACTGACGGTGACTGGGCGAGAAGACAGCCAACACTATCCCCTCAACTGCAGCACCCAACCTCCGACCGTCGGGAAAAAGAAGAGATCCAACTCCGCCGCAGAGAATGACAGGCACGAAATTAACGACGACTCCATCAACTACACCAACAACTCCTCGACTGAAGTGGTTGACTGAAATGGCGACAACCCACCCCTTCTCCTCGCCGACGACAACCCCAACCACGACGCGAAAGCACAGTGGCGAAATCTCGCCGCAAAGAAGGAAAGGGAGGTTCCGCCGATACCGACGCCCCTTGGGTAGAGTAGGGAGGCGACAAGGGGANAGGGGAAAAAAAAAAAAAAAAAGGATCTGGTTTTTTTCCTTTTTGAGAGGACAAATATGGAGTGACATGAGAAGAATTGAACAGAGCTAGGTCTAGTGAGGTTGAAGACGAGGGATTTTGGGAGAAGGGATTTGGGGTTTCTCCAAATTCTCCTTTGCAAAATCGTAAGTTCATGTGATCATAGTTTATGGCCTTTTCGTTAGATAATAAATTTCAAGAATTTGTTGTAACATGAGATAATTAAATCCGGGGTTCGTGTAAATGATGCTGGCTAGATTGGATGAATTGATTGAGATTGCCATTTTCTGTAAGGATAATGAAAAGTTTTTGCATAAAATCTCTACCATCATTCGGAGTATCAAGCTGTATTCATCAACAGTAGTACAAAATGAACTACATAAGAGATCTTAAACGAAAAACATGAAATAAAATCCTATCATCATTCGGAGTATCAATTTGTATTCACCTTAGTATCCACATTGGCATACATAACCAAACATCATGTGCGAGCATTTTTACCATGCTAAAACATCATAAAACCGTTTCCTACATCTTATCAACCATCCAAAACCAGCACCAGCACTGTGAGTATTCTCCACTCGCAAAGCTTATGTGTGCTTTCACCTCAAAGTGGTTATTTTTACATATAGTTACTCTTACCTTCAACTTGCTTCAAAACATGTTCAACAGAAATCCAGGCTTCCAATAACATCATAGGATTCCTCCATCCTCCTGGTTTATTCCATAATGATCCCATTTGTAATTTCTACGTTTT